GGTTGTTTGTTTTTGATTTTTTTGACAGCCCAATTTCTAAGCTAGAGGGCTCAAAATCAATACAGTTCTTGCTTTTTATGATACAAAGCTACACTAAAAATTTCAGGTTCCTAGCTCAAACCGTTCTCGAGTTATCGTGCGTACAGACAGACAGACAGACAGACAGACAAACAGACAGACACGAAACTTTTTGATCATCACTGGAGTAATAGGCTTCGCTATCGCTCAGCCAAATAGGCTTCGCTAATCGCTCAGCCAAAAAGGCAGCAGTTTTTCGGGTTTTTTCCCCCTTTTTCATCACCTTAACTGAAATGGCCTATTTCACCTGTTTATGAGTAAGAACTGAATGGTCTATAGGGTACTCGACTAGACCTGAAGGAGAAGAACAAATATCGTCGGACGCCGGGAGGAGCGCGGCTGGGCGGGGGGCAGTACACTGCTCCTCTCCACGCCCAACGATTTTTGTTCTTCTCCTTCCGGTCTATCCGAGCCTCGGAGTACCCTATTCTTTAGCATTATAGCCTTACCGGCATGTCGTCTGGTGTACATCTACCTATGTGTTTACAAAGAAAAGTAGAAAATGCCAAAACGGTACCCCAGGGCTCGGCTAGACCGGAAGGAGAACAACAAAAATCGTTGGGCGCGTGGAGGAGCGGGGCAGGGTGGGGGCAGTTCCCTGGTCGGAGCAGCGGAAGTACGCTGCAAGGCCGGACCGGCCGGCCGGGCCATCGCCAGGGGGCCCGAGTGGAGGCAAGCAGGCAAGCCTGGTTGGTGCGTCGTCAGCTGAGCTTTCTGCCTGTCCATCTGTCACCGTCTGTCCGTCTCCGGTACTTTGGGTCGCCGAGATCTCCGAGTCGAAGCTGGCGTAGGGGGAATGCCACGCGTTGCGCCTACTTGTGTACTGAAAAAGCCGGCGATATTACTGACGATGATGGTGAACAGCGAATACCGCTTTGTTTTCCCTCCGTAAAAACAGAGGGTAAACCCAGAAAATGCTTTCTTTGATTCTCAAAAATTATTTGAGGATGAAAATTAAAAATAAGTTTCCTTCACACGAGGAAAAATTTCCTTATGTTCAGGAATTTGTCTTTGAGGCAAGGTAAAAATCAATTTATCCAAATTTTAGGTCGAAATTTCAATGAATTAAAGAAAGCATTTTCTTGGTGTAAATGCAGAAGACTGCTTGGGGTCTGCGCCCGCCACCACCTCAACATGCCTTTTTTAACGTCAGGTCATATGACACCCTCAGCGAGTGCCGAGCGGCCGAACCTTCAGAGAGGTAGAATAGCGGTTTTCAAGACATGGTGTAGCGCCATTGCGCCATTCTGGTACTGCACCCTTCAATGGTGCTACCCCTCTGCGCCATTTGGCGCACGTTTGGCTGCCTACCCCTCAGGCGCTGGTGCTGGCGCTGTCGCTGGCACCTCGTGTCAGCGGCGCCGCGCCACGGTGCGCGTCACCACTCTAGGTGTACGTTTGGTTGCCTACCTTGCCGGCGCAACTTTCGTCGAAGGGGTAGGGGGGGAGGATGCTGTGGGGTGGCTGGTGCTGGTGCTGCAGCTGCGGCTGCTGCAGCGGCCGTTACAGAGAGGTCGACTCAGGTCATACACACACACACACACAGCCTCCCTCCGTGTGAGCATGAAAATGAAAATGTCAGGAGTGGGATTCGAACCCACGCCCCGCAGAGCAACGCGGGACCAGAGCTTAAATCTGGCGCCTTAGACCACTCGGCCACCCTGACTCATGCCGTCTATCGTAAACGAAGCAGAGTGTGATGTCTCCTGGCGGTGGGTGCCGCCACGGCTCCGATGAGGCGAATATGCAAACGTGTGTTGGATTAACTAGGACGCGCGCAGAGTGTCGTGTCGTTGCCCACCAACGCCCTACTGCGGGTTGTATGGTCAGCATCGTAAGGCTGCGGCGTGAACCTGGAGATGGACGATGTAAGCATATTTCGATACTATGGAGAAATGCAATCGATAGGAAAGTGTGGCACGAGCGCACCGTCGGGCGATGGTGGCCCATCGGGTGGCGGTCAGTCGCGGAGTGGTGGAGCGATCGAGTAGAGGTGTGCAGTGCGAGGATCAGTGGCGTGGTAGTGTGCAGTCGTGATCGGTCGTCGGGTTGCAGTCAGTCTTAGAGTGGTGAAGTGAAGCAGTGATAGAGTGCAGTGCGTGGGCTGGTGAGTACAGGGAAGAGCAATCCAATGTCAACTTAATACCACAGAGAATAGTTAGAAACTAAGTGTGTTTTGTGTTTGACTTCCAGTTGAGACAATCTATTTTCATACCATTTTTGAAGGAAGATTGTGAATCCCTACAGTGCAGTGCGTGGGTTGGTGAGTACAGGGAAGAGCAATGCAATGCCAACTTAAAAACGTAGAGAATAGTTAGAAACTAAGTGTGTTTTGTGTTTGACTTCCAGTTGAGCCAATCGGTTTCTACACCATTTTTGAAGGAAGATTGTGAATTTCTATGTGAAAGTTACAACACCTGTTTTGGTGAGTACACTTGTGTGTCTAAATATATGTTTCGTTTTGTTACACCTGTGTGACGAATGGCATTTTGTGTGTGCAGATTACAATGAAGTGTAACTGGTGTGGCGAGCAGTGCGGCGACGCCGATGGACTCCTGGCGCACATCATTCAACGCCATGCACCGAAGCCCGATGTAAGTGTTGCCTGGTGCTCCAAGCCAAACACTCACAAACCACGCACAGACACACAGGCAGTTTTTGATTGTACCACCTGCAGTAAAACTTTTAAGCATAAACGTTCACTAAAACGCCATGAACAGGAGGTTCATTCGAACAAACTGCACACATGTGAAACATGCAAGAAATATTTCAAAAATGTAAGGAGTTTAAAGGAGCATATAAAAAAACTTAAACATACTTCAAAACCTAACCCAGTGGTCAAGCCCCAACCTGTGCCTAAAAACTATAAATGTAGACAGTGTAAAGAAAAATTCAAAACTTTATTTCTTTTGTATTCTCATAAAAGATCATGCAACTCCCCTAAATATGACAAGTATGTTTGTGATGGGTGTTGGCGGCGCTTTTCAACATCAAGTTCGCTGAGATACCATGTAAATGGTTGCAATGATAGGAAAAGGAAGGTTGAGCGTGCCCGAAAGGTGCATGAGTTGTGCTCCTCCAAGTCCCACGTGGGTGGAGACTGGAGCACAGAGAGTGCAGTTGGAGGAGACGCTCGAATTCACAATCTTATCATTACGGACCTTCATGATCTACAGCTAACTCTGTTGAAAAACAAAGATAGCATTAAATGCACGGTGCAGAAGGATCTGCAGGAGTTGCGTCGAATAAAATGGTATCTGTCTGCCTTTATTCGATGTCAGAAGGCGGGTGAAGTAGAGCCTGAAAACGCCGTGCGTTATATGCGCTGCAGCCCGCTGACCACATTGCAAGATGCTGAACTAAATGAACAAATTCAGGAGGCCATTTTGGGGGTGATAAATTCATTTGATAAAGCTCAGGGGGAGGGTTCACAAATTCTGTTTGAAAAGGTTGAGAAAATTGAACTAAGGGTGGCTAAATACTCACCTTTGAAGGGTTCTTCTTACATGCCCTTACCCAAAAAATTCCAAAGCCCAACAAAGGGGCTTGTCAATATTAAAAATTTTGATAACAAATGTTTTTTGTATTGTTGCCTTGCGGGAGTTAAGCTTCCAGCACGTCATCCAGAGAAAGTGAGTTGCTATCGTCACAGGTTAAATGAATTTAACATGCAAGGCATCAGCTACCCAG